GTGTACCTCGGTCCTTCTGCCTGCTCTGCTCCCGGCTCTGGCTCTGGTGAATTCTCTCACCCTCCCGTGCTTCTGACTGTACCCAGTGCATGTATAAACGAAACAAAAAACGAACAAACAAACAAATAAATAAATAAAACATGCCTCTATAAAAAAAAGAAAAAAAAAAATACAAACAACAAATGTTGGTGAGGATGTGGAGAAACTGGAACCTTTAAAGCGCATTGATGCTAAGAATATAAAATGGTACAGCTACTGTGGAAAAACAGAGGCAGTTCCTCAAAAAGATTAAAAGCAGAATTACTATATGATCCAGCAATTTCACTTATGGGTATGTATGCAAAAGAATTTAAAGCAGGGGGTGCCTCCCTGGTGGCACAAGGGGTTAAGTCTCAGTACTAAGCAGCAGCACGAGTTAAATCCCTGGTCTAACTGGAAGCTGACCCACACGGTACTCTTGTCTCACCTGCTGCTTCCCCTCAGCAGTGTACTTCAGTCAATCTGCCTGTTCTGTTCCCCACTCTGTCTCTGGTGAATCCTCTCACCCCCCACACCTCTGGCCTATACCCCATTTCTTGTATGCATAAGCAAATAAAATCTTTTTAAAAACCTTTCTAATCCCTCAAGAAATTTAGAGAGAAAACTGTAGGGCAAAAAACAGAAATAGCACTATAATTGAGAATGCAACCTTAATTATGACACCATTGAAAACTAAGAAGAAAGGGCCTCCTTGGGGGCGCAGCGGTTGAGCGCTGGGCTGCAAAGCTGCCCTCAGCCTCTGCAGCGCCGGTTCAATCCCCGGCTGCCGCCAAGGGTCCAACATGGTGCTCAAACCTCTCCTGCCATGCCCGCTGCTCCCCTCAGCAGTGTACTTCGTCAGTCTGCCTGTTCTGTTCCTTGCTCTGGCTCTGATGAATTCTCTCTCACCCTCCCGCACTTCTGACTGTACCCAGTGCTTGTATAAATAAATAAATAAATCTTAAAAAAAAAAACTAAGAAGAAAATTAGCTAACAAAAGTCAGTTATGTACCTGGTAAGAACTATACTACACGACTGACAGATACTGATGGGATTCAAGGTGTTGTACATGTTTAACAAGTTGCAAGTACTGGCATAGTGCTCTGGTTTTAGGTGCATTTGTATGGAGCCATGGCTCTCAAAGTATGTTTCCCTGGGCCAGCAAAAGCAGCAACTGGTAATTTGTTTGAAATATAAATTCTTATGCTCAGCGAAATAAGCCAGAAGGAAAAAGAAAAATATCGGGTGGTTTCACTTATGACAGGAATATAGAGGAACCAAATAAGACATCAGTGTAAAAAAAAAAAAAACTAACAGTACAAAACACAACAAAGCAAAAACAGACAATTACGAATCAGAGACATACTGCAGGGGAGGAGGAGGGAGAGGGTTGGGAGAGAGGAAGGAGCACAGGGGACTGTGGTGATGGTGCAGAGGTGCCTTGGGGAAAGAAATTCTATGGGGACTCAATATGAGGGGTGGGGGAAGCAAATATTGTCTAAAAAAATGTAAAAAATGATGTGTTAAATTAAAAAAATATTATGAATTAAAAATTGATGATTATATATCTTCTCATAAATATTTCAATTTTAGGCAATAAAAATTGTTTACAAAAAAAAAAAATGAAATTCAAATTCTAGCACCCATCTGACCTGCAGATTCAATGACTCTAGAGGCAGAGTTAAAACAAGCCCTCCAGGGTCTCCCTGGTGGCACAAGGGGTTAAGTCTCAGCACTAAGAATCTATGAGCAGGGCCTCCCCGGTGGCGCAGCGGTTGAGTGCTGGATTGCGAAGCTGCCCGCAGCCTCTGCAGCGCTGGTTCGATCCCCGGCTGCTCCCCGGCCACCAGAGGAGGGTCCCACATGGCGCGCGGACCTCTCCTGCCGCCCGCTGCTCCCCTCAGCAGTGTACTTCGGTCCTTCTGCCTGCTCTGCTCCCTGCTCTGGCTCTGGTGAATTCTCTCACCCTCCCGCGCTTCTGACTGTACCCAGTGCATGTATAAACGAAACAAACGAACAAACAAACAAATAAATAAATAAAACATGCCTCTATAAAAGAGCAAAAAAAAAAAAAAAAAAAAGAATCTATGAGCAGCCATTGCAGCATGACTTCGATCCCAGGCCAGGGAGCTGACCTACATGGAACAGTAGACCTCTCCTTTCTTACCTGCTGCTTCCCCTCAGCAGTGTATTTCAGTAGATCTGCCTATTCTGCTGCCCGCTCTGTCTCTGGTGAATCCTCTCACCCACCCCACACCTCTGGCCTACACCCTAGCTCTTGTATGCATAAATAAGTAAGTCTTTAAAAAAATAAATAAAACAAGCCCTCCAGGTAATTCTGATTCATACTAAAGTTTGAGGATCACTGGTATGAAGTAATGTCTCAACTAGATAAATGTAGCTTGTCTAAGAAATGTATTTCTTGGGCCTCCCCGGTGGCGCAGCGGTTGAGCGCTGGGTTGCGAAGCTGCCCGCAGCCTCTGCAGCGCCGGTTCGATCCCCGGCTGCTCCCCGGCCACCGGGCGAGGGTCCCACATGGCGCGCAGACCTCTCCTGCCGCCTGCTGCTCCCCTCAGCAGTGTATCATCAGTTGCCTGTTCTGTTCCCTGCTCTGGCTCTGGTGAATTCTCTCACCCTCCCGCGCTTCTGACTGTACCCAGTGCTTGTATAAATAAATAAATAAATCTCTAGAAAAAAAAAAATTCCTTTAAAAAAAAAATGTATTTCTTGCTCAAAGTCCATCCTATTGTTTGAACCCAAACTCCTAAAAAAGTACTAATCTCTAGCCAATTGTGAAATGATAAGCCAGAAGATCTTTTTTTTTTTTCCAATTGGGAAAAATTCAGGAACTGCTCATTTTGAGATACTGTACCAACCACTGCAAAGGAATGAGCTGAAGAAAATAAAATCTAGTTTGTAAAAAGCGGTAAGAACCGATGCATTTGGAATTTCAACATTTATATGATTTGGACATACTCTAAAGTTGGGGAATAGCACAAGTATGACTATTACAACTGCCACATTTGCATGAACTGATTACTTTGTCTCTGGTTCCCATGAAATGAACGTGCTTAAAATAGAAATTCAACAAAATTTTAACTTCAAAAGGGCATCAAAAAGTCACTATTGCAGGGACTCCCTGATGGCGGCAAGCGGTTGAGCGCCGCACTGTGAAGCTGTCCACAGCCTCTGCAGCGCCGGTTCCATCCCTGCCAGCTGGCGAGAATCCTACATGGCGAAGCAGACCTCCCCTGTCTCGCCCAGTGCTCCCCTCAGCAGTGTATTTCATCAGTCTGCCTGTTCTGTTCCCCGCTCTGGCTCTGGTGAATCCTCTCACCCTCCTGCACATCTGGCCTGTACCCCAGTTCTTGTATAAAAATAAATAAATCTTGGGGGAAAAAAAGTCACTATTGCTTCAAGCTTTTAAGACTGGTGCTAAGTGAGACATAAAGACTACTGAAATACCAGATTTTTTTTCATAGTCCTGAATAATTTTTTAAATTGGTTTTTGAGGGCCTCCCTGGTGGCGCAAGGGGTTAAGCACTGCACTGTGAGGGGATCCGCAGCCTCTGCAGCACGAGTTTGATCCCTGGCCAGGCAGGGAGAAACCCACATGGCAAGGCAAACCTCTCCTGTCTCGCCCGCTGCTTAGCTCAGCAGTGTATTTCATCAGTCTGCCTGTTCTGTTCCCCGCTCTGTCTCTGGTGAATCCTCTCACCCCCTGCATCTCTGGCCTGTACCACAGCTCTTATATGCATAAATAAGTAAATCTTTTAAAAATAAAATAAAAAAATAAATTGGCTATTGATATGAAGTACCATTCTCCCTGATTACGCAGAATTACACTGAACTTCACTAGACTTCCAACTCAGGAACAAATGGTTAGCACACTACATATTTCATGCATTCAGAAAATGCTAAATATAAAATAAACCAGAGGTTTCTAGCTGTTTTTGATTGTGAACCCCCAACAACAAAAAACTGAGTACACATCTCCAATGTACCTACATTTACATATAAATTATATGTTCTATTGCAGTTATAGTATGTATTGTAAAATATGTAATAAAAATTAAATAAGGGGCCTCCCCGGTGGCGCAGCGGTTGAGCGCTGGGTTGGGAAGCTGCCGGCAGTCTCTGCAGCGCCGGTTCAATCCCCGGCTGCTCCCCGGCCTCGGGAGGAGGGTCCCACATGGCGCGCAGACCTCTCCTGCCGCCCGCTGCTCCCCTCAGCAGTGTACTTCAGTCCTTCTGCCTGCTCTGCTCCCCGCTCTGGCTCTGGTGAATTCTCTCTCCCTCCCGCGCTTCTAACTGTACCCAGTGCTTGTATGTATCAATCAATCAATCAATAAATAAATCTTTAAAAAAAAAAAAAAATAAAATAAAAAATAAAAAATAAAAAAAACTTTAAAAAAAAAAAAATTAAATAAGGCTGAAATAACAAGAAGGCCAGTTTTAATTTTTTCTCCCTGAGATCCACCCCTGATGTGTGCACACACCTTTCCTTGGACTCACTGAAAATTTTATGTATGGCCCAGAAACCCTATAGGCATTCTTGGGCAATGCCCCTAACCACGGAGGAGGAAGCTGTCAAATGCAATAGACAAACCGCTGTCTCCTTTCTGCTGAGTGCCACCATCTATGACTCAGGTCTGTGACACTGGCTTTTTGCCTTCTCCCCTACCACCTTCTTCTGTTACCTTCTCATGTACCAAAGCGCAACAGAGAAGACTGTGAAGCCAGTGGGTGCAAGAATAGCATAAAAGTAGAGATTCTACCTGGGTTTGTGCCTGGGCTCTGCCTTGAACGTACTAGGTGACCCAGGGCCGGTCAGGTAACATCTTTAAAATTTATCAGTAAGGTGAGTGATAACAATAATATCTCACCCAGTTATTAGGATTGAGATAACTACACCTAGACAGTGCACATGCTCAATAAATATTTTACCCAGAATTATTACTTCAGGTGGCAGAAGAAGTCACCTGGACTTTGTTTCATTGGCCAACTCAGGAAGGAAGCAAGTTGCAGAGGAAGTAGCTCAGGTTGCGAAGTCCAGTAGATCTGGTTTGATCCACCACTGACAAGCTGGATAACTGCAGGAACCCAGTTTCTCTGACAGAGAGTCTTATCTGTTTAAGGGGAATGACACAAACCATATGAAGTCCCTGTCAGCGACAGTAAAACACTAGTGAGCAGCAGCAGTGAGGGCAAGCAAAAAGCACATGGACTTAAGTTTCATTCCAGGTTCCCCTGGACACATCCGTGTTTGTCCAAATACTGAGAGAGCAAGCGTCCCTAGAGCTACCGCTGAATGTAAATGCATGTGTACCAAAACCCACAAGTATGGTTGTTTCCCAATGAGACAATGTGCTCATGTATGACCACACACAATTCACAATCTGTGTGCCTCCATTTTTTAGTTATAAACGTGGAATAGACTTTTTACCCATCTACGGTAAACTAATCTAGTTACTAGGGGGAAGGGTGCTACACCACTGATTATAAAGTAATTGGAGGCCTCTGCAAAGGTACTGTTTGGGCCTTTAAAGGCAAAAGAAAAGATCTCTAACACATCAGGTTAGTTAATAATAAGCGAGAAGTCTCTGCATTTCAATTTATGACCTAAGAATGACCATGAAAATAGATGCATTTTGTTTTTTACATTGTGTGCCCACTAGGAATGCTGCAAATGTGTCTTAACATCTGAAATCTAAATGATTAACATACTTAAAAAGATACAGGTGTCCATTAGGCATCACTCCAGAAACACCTGAAATATACAGCACTAATTACATGCCGGTAGCCCTTGCTCCTTTACAAAAGCTTCAGTTTTAGCACAATAACCTGGATGGCAGCACAACCAATAAAGACACTGCATAACCAACTCTGCGTGCGTTTGATCAGATAAAAGAAACATAGAGCAAACATCATTAAAAAAAGCTTTTCTTTACAAGAATTACTACAAAATTCCCAGAAAGAGATCAGTCACCCAAATCTAATTGTCACTCTAGGAGGAGGGGCAGTAAATGGCCGGAAGTAGGAGAAACCCCATTCAGAGCCCCCCTCAAGACTCACTGCCCCCCTCCAGCCAGCAACCTTCCCACCTGTAACAACTTTCTATCATTCACTCTGGATGCAGGGCTCCCTCTAACTAATTATCGCATATTCTAATGTTGTACGAGAGCCTGAAGAAATAAACCCGCCTGGAAGTAAACAGAGGCAGCATTAGTGAGCAAAGCTGAAGTTTGAGAAAAACAAAAACTAGAAATCAAGCAAACCCCAGCAAAAAAGCTACGTGTTGCCTCTCCATCGTACCTTCCAGAAGCGGCGAGAGCGGACAGCGTGCGCGCCCCGGCTCTGGAAAACCCAGCCAGAACCGGCAGATTCTAGAACCCACAGCTCCCCGGGGGGCGGCGGGCGGGGCGGGCAGCGGCGCGGCGCCTCTCCCGACAGTGGTCCCCCGGGCCCAGGGGGTGGGGTGAGGGCGCGCGGCTCCTCCGGACGGGGGCGCGGCCCGGGGCGCGGTGGGGGCGCGTCGGCCCGTCCCCCCCTTTCCGGACCGCGGTCCCCCGGCCCGCACGGCTGCTGGACAGCGCCCGCCGCCCCCGCCCCTGGCGGCCGCCAGGCGGGAACTCCCGGGGCCGCGCGGCGGGAGGCCCGAGCCGCGGCCCGGGGCGGGCGCCATGGGGACGCGCGTGACGGTACCTGTGGCGGCCGCGGCTCCCGAGAGGCGGCGGCAGCGGCGGCGGGCAGCGGCGGCGGCAGCGAGGGCGGGGCGGCGTGCGCGCTCCCGGTCCGCCGCGGTCCGGTGCGTGGCGCCCGCCCTCTCGCTTTCGGCCGCCGGGCGCCCGCGCAGCTCTCCGCCCCTTCACCTCTCACCTCCTACCTTTCCCCTCCCGCCCCGGCGGCCCTCCGCACGTGCTCCCCGCGGCGCGCGCATGCGCACTTGAGCCCCACCCCGCGGCTCCCGCTCGCCCCCTGGCGGACCTCCGCCGCACCAGCCAGTGAGGAAAAGGTCACTTCCTAGCTGGCCCAGCGGCGCGCCGCGTGAAGCCCGGCCAGCCGCTCTGAGACCGCACCAGGGCTTTTGACTACACATTCCGTACAGTTATTAAAAACATGCACAAGATGTTCATTTTCCCTGTTTCATAACAGAAAGAGTAAAGGCTTCTGAGATGCACAATAATTGCAGATTTTTCAAATCAATTATGCCCATAAAATAAGGCCCCCCACCCCTTTAAAAGGATGTTTTATGAATAATTACTGATGTCGAAAGATGTTCTAGAAGAAGGTTAAAAATGAGCTGTAGAGTATGATCTTGGTTCGTTTTTGTTAAACAATGCAAGGAAACAGGGCAGGGGTGACCCTGATGTGTGATCAGTGGCCGGGTGTTGGGTTGTTTCCACTTACTGGTGTACATTGAACCATTTTCTACATGGAACATGCATTTGTAGTGGGAGTAATAGCCAGGCCCACAGTTTCCTCTGTCGGGGGCTTAGCTGAGCACATTGCACACGGCCTCTCTCACCTGACCTTTCTGAAAACCCTGAGGTGGGTCTTCTTACCCAGTTTCACACAAGGAGAAAAGCAGGCTTTGGCCCACTGGGGAGCAGGTCCCCGCGTGCCCAGCGCTGGCGCATTCTGGTACACTGCCAGTTAGACTGCACATGGGTCCATGTGCAAATGAAAGAGGGGGCCCTAAAATGAGCATCCTTTGCCACATCTGGGTCATCTGCTAGCCTGGCTGCCTGGCCACTTAGCCAGGGCTACTTGAATACCACCGGCCCTCCAGGGCGGTGGCGTTGGAGTTGCATAAAGGGCAGACAGCCAAGAAGCAGGCAGAAATCAGAGATGACCCTGGAGTGCTTCCAGCCACCTGGTCCCTCCTAGCCCTTCTTGTCATATCCCTCCCTCAACCCTGAACCCACTGGCTTTGGTACTACTGCTCCAAGGCTGCCAGTCTTGGCATCCCTCCCTGACTGGTGACATTAAGTGATAATGGGGATAAATAACCTTGATCCAAAGTGACCTTTGAGATTAAGCCCTGTATTCAGGGTTGCCTTTAGCTTTAGATGAGTTTTTAGTCTATAAATCTGTTTTTTTGTTCTTAATTTTTAAGTAAAAGCAAGGAGAAGGGGGGGAAACCTTACCTACACCCCTTAACCACTCTCACCTTACCCCATTGTGGGATAAGTATCAGACTTTTCTGCCCTCCCGCCATTAAGAGGGCTGATGGATCTGCGGTCCTGAATGCATGCCTGATGGAGGACACCTGGAGTAGGGTGTGGGCATATGTAAGTGGGTACACCTGGGCTGAGAGACGGGGCTTATAAGGGTGGCATCATTGGGACGCCAGCAGAAAGGAAGAGCAGAGGCAAAAGAAATGGAATTACCGGAAGAAGCAGAACCAGCAGAGAAGCAGCGGTCATGAGAGAACACCAGAGAGCCCAGCAAGAGTGAGGTCTCGCTGGGGACTGGGAGGCCTGCCAGCCTCCCGGCCCCCTGGTCTGCTGTGTACCTGGTAAATCCCAGTAAAAGCCTGCAAAAGCCACCCAGGGCTCCAGGACTCCTCCTTCACCCCGTCTGCTCGATCACAGAGATTCTGCTCTGTCCCTTCCCGCCACTACATCCCTCCACCTCTGATCCCACCATCTGGTCTCAGAAAACATGGACGGCAAGGATGGCACTTGTCTCTCACCAGTTGCTCCCCTCTTTCACTGCCTTTTTCCTTTTGGCAAATACAGTCTATCCATTTTTTTGTTTGTTAGTTTCCTGTTTAAACCTATCCTAACCCTGCATTACCAAGTCCCACTCCCCTCCTTTCCCCACTAAGTTCCTATAATGAACATGGTTCCAAACTGTCCCAGCAGAATCCTGAGGAATATTTCAACATAAATCAGTCTCCTAAGCCCAACTCTAGGCCCACTGGACGAAGGTCATCACTCTGGAGAGGGCAGCAGCTCTTCACACCTTCCTGGGTAGGGACTTAGACTGTCTTACCTTACTTCCCAACCCCTCCTCAATTGACAATACCACCAAACCTATTTGCAGGGCACTGACCCTCTTCAAGATCTGGATTCTTTGCTCCAAAAACAAGGGTCTCCTTGTTGGGCAGTCCGAAGGCTTCCACTGCACAAGGAGAAAAGCCTGAGGCTGTAGTGAAGGTGAAGCTAATGGGCCCCTACTAAATCAGCTACAGAATGGCCCTGGAGAGTAGAATGAAGTGGCCATGACTGTATGGCTTGCTTCTCCCCAATATTTTTTTTTTTTTATAGAGGCATGTTATTTATTTATTTGTTTTTCTGTTTATACAAGCACTGGGTACAGTCAGAAGTGCGGGAGGGTGAGAGAATTCACCAGAGGCAGAGTGGGGAGCAGAGCAGGCAGAAGGACCGAAGTACACTGCTGAGGGGAGCAGCGGGCGGCAGGAGAGGTCTGTGTGCCATGTGGGACCCTCCTCCGGGGGCCGGGGAGCAGCCGGGGATCGAACTGGTGCTGCAGAGGCCGCGGGCAGCTTCGCAACCCAGCGCTCAACCACTGCGCCACAGGGGAGGCCCTTTCTCCCCAATATTTTATGATGCAAACAAAGGGAAAAATTTTAACAAAAATAACTGTACACTCTAAACTCTGTAACTGTTCAACATTTTGCTTCTCCTGTAGCTAAAATATCTCCTTTTCTCCAACAATCCACCTTGTTACACATTTCCAGATAAGATTTAGATAACTGACTGTTGCTTTTAATTGTAATTTCATCTTCAAATGGATTTCAGGTGGGACAACTCTCGTTAGCCCTGCCTGAATAACTCAACCTCATTTCAATTGCTTCCACAAACTGTGGAATTTTTTCAAAACCTTAAACTAAATAGAAGTTAGAAATCATGAAGTGATAACAACTCTCTATACTTGAGCTTCCACCCTGGCTAATCTTTATGACAATCTTGAAAAATAAGAGTTGGGTCTATTTCACAAAGGAAGAATCTTCCTCAACATGGAGGATTTGCCCAAGGTCACTCTGATAAGTGACTAGGTAGCCTCATCCTGGGAACAAAGACTGCTACCCCTGCCTGTCTGGACAGAGAAGTATGTTTCATAATGATTTCTGTCCATCTGCAATCACTTGAACTAATGATCACGCTCACCATGAAATTAAGCACTAGTGATAGCAGCTGGCAACATGATAAAGTGAAAACTTCCTTGGGGTCAGACTCCTCAGATTTGATACAGGCACCGACCAGCAGCAGCAGTAGCTCTGTGGCCAGGAAAATGACTTAGAAGTCAGGTTCTAGGTTACAACCAAAAACACCAACCTCTGTGGCTTTTGAAGAAAAAAAACACCACTGAATTAGTATGAACACATGTAAACTGTCTAGATTTTAATAAATGGTAATCATTCTTACAAATGTGATGCAATCACTAATTTAAAATAAATTTTATTGTACTGAAATTAGTTGAATGCCTTTATTAGCTATCAAGTCCCTTCCTACCATGTATCAGAGTGCAGAGATATCATAAATCCCTGTACTAGAGAAGTTAAATATCTTAATGCACATGTTTAAACAAAATCTTATAGGCAATATGATAAGAGTTATTATAGAGATCATAATGGCAGTCAATAGTGACAAATTGTTGGGTTGTTGCCAGAGGCAGCTTCACATATGTTATCTCATATAATCCTGATGATGGCCTTTACAGGCCTATAAGATAATCTCAGGGCCTCCCCGGTGGCGCAGCGGTTGAGCGCTGGGTTGCGAAGGTGCCCGCGGCCTCTGCAGTGCCGGTTCGATCCCCGGCTGCTCCCCGGCCACCGGAGGAGGGTCCCACATGGCGCGCAGACCTCTCCTGCCGCCCGCTGCTCCCCTCAGCAGTGGACTTTGGTCCTTCTGCCTGCTCTGCTCCCCGCTCTGGCTCTGGTGAATCTTCTCCCCTTCCTGCGCTTCTGAATGTACCCAGTGCTTGTATAAATAAACAAAAAAAAAACCCAAACAAACAAATAAATAAATATTTAAAAAAAAAAAGATAATCTCATTTTAAGCAAGTAAAAACTGAAGCACCTGGTGTTTAAACAAACTTAGCAGAGGCCACACACGGCTACTAACTGGCAAAGGGAGCATCAAATGTTGACCTGTCAAACCCCAAAGCCCTAAAACTTGTGCCTCTAAACTTTTAGGTGCTATGAATGGAAGGGTGTTGATTGGCAGGAAACTAAAGAGCAGAAATCATGAAGAGGATGCTGTATGAGCAGGGCCTTGTAGGGCTGAGAGTTCGCCAGATCAGAGCAGACTACCCATGTAGCAGGCCTACTTTATTTACATGTTATCATTTATTTGATTCTGACCACCCCATAAACCCCACTGTAGGGTAAAGAAAATATCAGACTTTTCTGCCCTTCCGCCATCAGGATAGATGATGGATCCTTGTCCTGAATGCATGCCTGATGGCGGGCACCTGGAATAGGGTGTGGGCATAGGTAGATGGGATTCAGCTGAGCTAAGACTGTGCTTTTTAAGGGCGGCGTCACAGGGTGATGCCAGCAGCCCCAGCCAGCAGCAGCAGAACCTGAAGGAGAAGCCGAAGCAGAAGCAGAGAACGCCAGAGAGCCCAGATAGAGTGAAGACTTGCTGGGGGCTGGGAGGCCTGCCAGCCTCCCAGCCCCCCAGCCAGCACCCCTGCCTGCCATATGCCTGGTGAACCCCAAATAAAAGACCTGCAAAACTACTGAGGACTCTGACTCCTCCTTTACCCGGTCTGCATGG